CCCGCGTCTCACCCCAGAGACAGATGCGGGAGGAAGGAGCAGCGTTCACCAGAAAGAAGGACACGCAGAGCAGAGTCCTGGGAAAACAGCCTGGAGGCGGCGGAGAGAATGGCAGCGGCGAGACGGCAAGGAGGCAGGGATGCCGGTTTCCCCTGGAGTGTCCGCAGAGTGTAAGTTTCGGGAAGGAGAGGAGCGGAGGGAGGCTGACGGAGGGCGGTAAAGCCACAGAAACGCGGGGAAGAGACGCTGGAGAGGCTTCCATCGAGGGCAGTGACCGAGCGCAGCGGGCACGTGGTTGACGCTGGCCCCAGACATCTGTGCGTAGCCCCCGCGATCCCTTGTGGACGGGAGCCGCCGGTCACGGTCTGCGCTGACCCGCCTCCTCCAGACCCGGGCCCAGCTGAGCGAGCTGGGGGTGTGAGCACGTGGTTCCCAGGACCACTGCCCCATGCTAGCCACTCTCTCCCCGGGAAAGTTCCTGAAACCCCACGAACTCCACTCAGTACGTATGTAAAATGAGGGTAGTACGCGTCTCCAGAGCCACCGTGACGATCACACAAAATCCCGTATCTGAGGCTCCCGGCCCAGGATCCCACTTTCTTACGCCTGCCACCAACGGAATGCTTCACAAAGACAAGCATTATCTTAAGAGGAAAATGTCTGACCTGCAGTCAAACAAGGGACAACGGAGCCCGTCCCTCCCAGCCTCCGTCCCACAACTAGGACAACCATCGGGACTGTGGGTTATTGTTCACATTTCCGGAAGGAAAGGGAAGCTACTGCGTCTGAGTGAGAAGAACCTTCTGGTGCGTGCTGGCCTCATGTGAATGTGGGTGGCATGAGTCCCCTCCCCTGGCCTGGTCTCTGGAGATTAAGAGCAGGTGAGCCCGCACAACGCCCTGCCTATTCTTGGCCTCCGAGCCACACGTGGCTGCCTCCCGGCTGGATCCGGAAAGTCCCACCGAACCAGGTTGTTACCTAGTGTATGCCTCACATTACAAACAGAAAGCCTAAGAATTAAAGTCCACTACAATTTGTTCTACATGGTGTTTAAAAAAATTTTTAATTGCCAGTAGTTTAAAAATTGGAAGATTTTACCAAAATCTCAATGCCACCTTTTCTTGAAAAAGATTCCCACAGAGCATCAGTTGCTGCGGCTGAATGGCATCCGTCCCCGCCTGGAGGTTACGGGGTATTTCACGGGTGGGTACAATGCACTCTCTAGCCCTTAATGGGCCTACCCGGATGGCCTCGCTCACGTAGAGGTGTCCGCACCAACACCACATCAAGAACCAGTAATACGGTGATAATCACATCTGTCTGGTACTGTAGTTAGTAGTTCATTATTTGGGGGGGAAATTTAGTTAGAGACCTCACAGCCTGCATGTGCATATATGCACACATGCACACACACACGAGTACGGCTGGATTAGACGTAAAATGTGAAAACATGACATGGTAAAACTGGAGTGATTTTTATTTCATTCGGGTGTTCCATAATGTATAGAATTTTCTATAATACACACAAATGTGAAACGTGTAAATTTATTTAGAATTTTCTTTTTAAAGTTTATCATTCTGAGAGAGCGAGCGAGAGAGAGCACGGAGGAGGGGCAGAGACAGAGGGAGAGAGAGAGAATCCCAAGCAGGCTCTGCACTGTCAGCACAAAGCCCCACTCGGGGCTCGATCCCACGAACTATGAGATCATGACCTGAGCACAGATCAATGGTCGGAGGCTTAACCAACTGAGCCACCCAAGCACCCCAATTTATTTAGAATTTTTAAAAAGATGAATTAGAATGAACACTTCATTTCAGAAGTTCTAGGACAGCAATATTTATGAACCGGTGTAAAGAATGGCTATAGAATAGAAATGAAAGCAAAAATGCCTTGAGACTCTTCAAAGAACAGTCCATGAATTTCAAACTATCTGACCCACTTAAAGACATCTCTCTCATCTTTATCTGAACTCTAGGCTAAACGATTCAAAGGAATTACATCCCCTTAGAATTTTTTTTTTTATAGAAAGTACGTTGTCAGGAGTATGTCCTAACTCTTGACCGGGTAAATGTACGATATCCCTGTGGGAAGGACACAGAGAGAGGTACAAAACAGGAAAATAACAAGGTTTAACAACAGGGTCCCGACCCTTGAAGCAAACTTTGGTGACAAAGGTAAAGACAGGAGGCTCCATCTTCTTCTCAAGGAAGAATTGGGTCCCTGGAGGACGATATAGAAGGTGATACTGTATCACCTTCTAGAACATGCTTGGGTTTTCAACAGCATTTCTAATACGTGCCTGGGTTTTGTAAGCCTATTTATTTACTTTAAACTAGAAAAATACTCTTTCGATCCAAATAAGGATTTGAAAAAATTTTTGAAAGCCGGTTAGATCAAGTGTCAGAACCAGAAAGCACTTAGAAAAGAATCTCTGTGCTAAATGTTAATTAAGAGGTTATTTGGAGGGGGGCAGGAAGAAGGGGCAGACACAGGAAACAAAAACCACCCATGGAGTTTCTTCACCATCAGGTTTCCCTCCTCCGGGAGGAGGTCCCGCTCGGATGGCCCCACGTTCACGGCAGGAACACCCTCTTGCAGAGAATCAGGACTGAGACATAGATAGGAGCGTATCTCATGTCTGAGGTGTCTGAGGGCATGTGCCCCACTCTTTGTACGTGTGGAGAGGAGACTGCGCACCAGCCGTCAGGTGTGACAAATGTCTACGCCAGAGCCCCCGCCAGGCAGTCACGCTCCCAGAGAGACACAGCTGACACCTTACGACTCCACACTCCCATCGGCACTAGTCAGACTAGGAGGCGGCCGTCCGACCCGCGGGTGGCCCATCCACAGGAGCCACCTCTGCCCGGGCCTGGCAGAACAGATAAGCCCGGCCACATCTTGCTCCTGAGAATGTGCGATCGGAAACACAAGAGAAAGCAGCAGTAAGCAATGGAAACAGGATGAAAAAACAGAGTTCGGGCCGAGGGGAGTTTCTGCAGACGGGGACACTAAGAGGAGGGAAAAGCTGTGACAGAGAAAAGACTCACAGGGTAACAGAAACAAAGACAGAGAACAAAACCCAAGGGTACCTCACGGTGGGGCTGCAGAGGGAAGATCCTTAACTTGTCCCAACGGTACCTGGGGCCGTCTGGGATCCAGAATCAACGTCTGCCTTCAATTTCTATGAGCCGTCACTCCAATGAACACTCCTGGTTTTCGGTTTTCAGGAACATTTCTCCAATGTCATAGCACACACATTCTTTCAATAAGCCAACCCTCCGCAGCACATGCGGGCTTAAGCCTAGGCTCTGTGTGGTCAAGGGAGCGCATCTACAACAGTCTGGGAGTGAGGCGCCCAAGGTCAGAGCTGAACAAAACGGAGGGCAGACCATTCAACCTCCAGGGCCCTAGAGCCGGGCTCCTCCCGCGCTAAACCAGAGAGACCAGTGCACTGGAACGGGCGAGTGGTATCGATAGAAAGTAAACCGTGATGCTTGCAAAAGGGGGTGGAGGACCTGGAGACAGAATCCAGAAGCTGACCCTAGAGGAATCATCCAACAAAGAGAGACTAACGGTCTGAATGTGGAAAAAGGCAGGCTGCAAAGCTCGTGAGGTCTATAAAAATAAGGGGAGGTGGCAAATAAACGGAGCGCTGCCCCATTGGCTGGCTCACAGAATGAGGACATACCTTTTAAAACGTGAGAGGTAGTTTTAAAAACATAGGGCATTACTTTAAATATTAAACACGTGGAATTGACCAAGAATATCCAAGAGCTTCAAGGCTGGTTTAGCACAAAAATATTTTAAAGACCGGCGTCAAAGACAATACAGTCACACCTCCCAGAATATTCCTGGGAGTCAGTGTCAGACATAGAACACTGCGGAAGACGAACCACAGATCCATTAGGGAAATGAAACAGAACTTTATTATTTTCTTCTAATTAAAAAAATACACATTTTGTGTCAAATTTCCAAATGGTACAAAAGTAAATGTTTTGAAAACTAAGTTTCACATAACGCGGATACTGGCGTTAAGGCTTCGGTACGTTGCCTTCCAGACATCTTTATCTGCACACTTGGTATTTTATTCCCAAAACACACTCCCATCTTACACATATTTACTCTGCAACTTGCTTTTGTCAACACATTTTTTCTACACGACAACATACAGATCAAACAGTGGTTTGAACAGCTGCGTGCGTTTCACGGCACGGATGTATCAGTTTACTTGGTCATTTTCCAAAGGCAGACACGAAGGTTGTCGGCATTATTTTTACTAACACAGGCTTTTTGGTGAGTATTCACATATATGTCATATACTTGTACGACTACTTCTGTCACATCAGTTCTGCAAGTGTTACTGTCAAAACGACATCCCGATTTAGGGGAGAGCAAACTGTAACGAACGTGGCAACCCAAGTGAGTAAGATTCTAAAGCCAGTACTGAGGCCACAGGACAGAAGAAGGATCCAGCCAGGAATGGAAGGCTAAGGCCTTGCGACCCTCCTGGTGGAGAAATCCGTACGATCACCTGGGGGGACGTGGGCAGGTGTGAACTGCCAGCTCTTCACCCTCAGGCCGGTCAGAGGTCCCCATCTGCGTTCGAGTCTGGACAGCCTGACTCTGGCATCAGATCATCAGAGGCCAGAAGGAAATTCGCGGAGTACAAAGCATGGAAACGGAAGCGTACACTTAATCCGGAAACAGAAAGGAGGACACTGAAGAAACAAACTATTTTTCTTTAAAACACAGATTGATTGGGGCGCCTGGGTGGCTCAGTCGGTTAAGCGGCCGACTTCGGCTCAGGTCATGATCTCACGGTCCGTGAGTTCAAGCCCTGCGTCGTGCTCTGTGCTGACAGCTCAGAGCCTGGAGCCTGCTTCAGATTCTGTGTCTCCCTCTCTCTGACCCTCCCCCATTCATGCTCTGTCTCTCTCTGTCTCAAAAATAAATGTTAAAAAAAAAAAAAATTTAAAAATAAAAACACAGATTGATTTACCTTTGGCATAATGTAGGGAAATGGCACTCGACTTCATAGTGATCCCTCGAACCTGTTCGTCTTCTCTGCTGTCCATGTACCTTAACTGTAAAATGCAACATATGCATCCTTACTTCCCAGTGAAATGTTGACACTAAGACGGTCTAAGCTGGACTTTTGCTTTAAACGCATCATTTTTAAACTAAAAGCTTTGTAGTTTGTTAACGTGGGGAGGGGGTGAGGAAGGTGAGCTGCCAAGGGAAGAGAGCGGACGCCCCGAGAGACAGCACCACGTTCCGCACGCATTCCAGTTCCGCACGCCCTCCCCGGCATGTAGCACGCGGGGGCCGGTCGTTCTCTCCCTGCTCCTAGGCTGTCTGACGAAGTCTGGGCAAACACTGAAACCGAAGATCTCTAGAAGCATCAGGAGCCTTCACTCCTTTTTCCATGATCAATGATAAACAAATACTGATAAACGATGATAAATGATTATTTTTTTAATTTACATCTCTCCGACTGTCAGTGGGGTTGAGTATCCTAGTTTGCCACACTGGCCATGTGGCATTCCTCTTCTGGGAGTTTCCTGTTCAAGATTTTTGTCCATCTTTTTAATGGTTATATTACAGATTTGCTCTGTTCCGAATAGAAGCTATTTACAGTCCCTGAATATTAGACCTTTGTCAATGATGTGTTATTACTATTTTCTCCCACTTACCAGGCTTGTCTTCTCACTTTTTTTTATGGCATTTCCTGATGAACAGATGTTCTTAGTTGCAATGTACTTGAGTTGATCAAACCTACATAACGGGACGTACTTCTTCGTCTCATTGACGAAACCTTCTCTTGAGGTCACAGAAGTACTTTCCTATATTCTTTTCCCAAGTTTTATAATTTTGCTTCTCACATACAACTGTTTCAATTACATGCTGATTTCTGTGTGCGGTGTTAAGGAGAAGTCCAATTTTATTTATTTTCCCCGCAGATAACCAACTGTCCGAGGACAATGCGTGGAGAGGCTCGTCTCTTCCCTACAGATCGGAAATGCCAGCTCTGTGATCAACTCCACTGATCATATCCTCAACTCATTGGGGGAAGGAACTGCTCTATTTTTCTACTGCGAGTAACTTACACTCGCAGCTAGAAACAAAGATCTCTTTAATTTCATTTCCTAAGACACTATTTTCATCATGACCCTCAGACTCCAGCTGCCTTCAAGTTCTTCCGGAATCCGGCATTCTCTCCACCAGGACTTTTCCTCTCCCAGGGCCTCCAGGCAAATGCTCCCCCCGAATCTAGGACAGCACCCAAATCAGCCCCGATCCCCTTTGTCCACTGTGCTCCCCCACCTGCCGGCGTCTCCCCAAACCACACACTCGTCGTCCACAGAACCTCGCGCTCCGTGAGAGCTTCCACAGCTGGGCCAGCCGTCACCGGACTTGTTACAAAAACTCATTTCTGCATTTAGGACATATTACTATACAGCAACATAAAATACCTTTCTCAACATGTATATTATCTTGCTAAATAGACGAGCAGCTTCTCAGACACATAAACTGGGCTTTGCACTCTTCCTGGATGTCTACGAATACATCACACCTCGGACAGCTGCTACCTACTGAAAGGCAACAAGACTTCATCGAATGCAACTACTTACCTTGCCTGCCAAGCGGCTGGAGATGATCCCGTTGCTAGATATAAGACAGTCGGCCAGAGTAGTTTTTCCTGTTAAAATAACAATAGTAATTCAAATCTATTTCTTTTCCTAAAGAGGAAGGATGATGTATCCTATCTACAGAATTAATTTCTGACCTTAAGAACTGGTTAAGCCAAGATTTCCCAGTTACCTGTACTGAGTGAAGTTAAGACATAATAAGCATTTCAGAGAGTTTGTCTGCACGGAGTGTCACCTGGAAGGACACAGACCCTAACGCTCCAGAGGGCTGGCAATCTGTAGCTCCAACCCGTGGATCTCATCACCCTCCCCCGAAAAGTCATTGAGCAACTTTTTTTTAACTGAAGCATAACCGACAGAGTAAAATGCAGACTCTTCAGTGACGAGACACACTACCATGCCGGCGACAAGAGAGAACGTGTGACGCGCAGCGTCCACGTGGCTCCTAAACTCTGTCCCACGAGAACTCGATCAAGTATCGCTACATTCATCGTGTGACAGCCCTAACGGCCATGCCACAGACTGAAGCTCTCGGTGGCCAGAACAACACGATGGCAGAAGACTCACGTCCGTCTCTGGACGGTACACGGCATACGACGTCACCAAGGGACAACAATATAACCTGCCACATGTCCCCAAGGATGGCCCGAGCTGGCACTTGCCAGTTAAACTGTCTTCGGGAAACACTTATGAGCAAAGCAATCCAAGAAGCTCACCCTCGCCTCCCGCGGAGGGCAAGCCTGCGGACGACATCGGCCACAGCGCAGCTACGACTGAGGCCACCCAGATCCGGGACGCACACCCCAGGGTCTCCTCTGGGGTAAAGTCTGGACTCGGGCACACACTGAGTTTCACGCGAGATTTTACAAAGACTACACAGTGTGAAGTGCAACAAACAGATAACTGTTTAAAGAATGCTGGGCTGAAGTGACAAACGGAGGGTCTTTTCTTAGGACAACCAAGTCCCTGGTACACTCTAAGAATTTTAGCAAAGCCATGGAATGGGTAACCGTACAAACCAGACAGCAGTCAGCGGGAGCACCGAAGAACACACGTGCCGCGTTCTCCGTGAGGCGCGTAAATACTGTGTGTTCGCACAGGCCTGGGGCGTCACTCCCCCGCCGTCCAGCGGGTACCACTCTAGGTCTGGCAGGCAGATTTCCCCGAGGACGTCAGGTGCTGAGAAAGCACCGTGTTTCAGCACTTTGGCTGTATCCCTGGGACCACACACCACTGACCTGCCACGTGCTTTAATTCACGAAGCAAATACACAGACGTGGACACACACCCACACTTCGGTCAAAGCTCAGGTCCTCGCAATGGGGACAGCATAACTACACAAACCCGTGGGCGGGCGTCACCCACGAAGCGACCCCACCAGCCCTTTCAGCTCCCGGGCTACTCCGCTGCGGCTGTTCCGCCCACAGCGACGGCCACCTAACGGGCCTCTCTGCCTTCCATCCACACTGAACGCTCCCGCCGGACCAATCTTCCCACGGTGTTGATTACAACACCCCTGCTTTATTCTGCTCTCCCGGTGGCTCCCTGGTACCCAACGGCAAATGTTAACCACCAGAGTCACGACAGGGCGCGCACCTGCCAAGGGTTCCTCGCCAGCGTCCCAGGTGACCCCCTCCGCCCCGTAAGGCAGGCAGAGTCTTCCAGGTCTAGACGCTGCGTGCTGACGCTCCCAAGGGCGAGGTGACTTCAAAGGGAGTTCCGACCCCGGGCTGTCTCACTCCAGGGCGGGGTGGCGCTCACCCGGATCCCAGTCCTAGGCGGCACGAAGCGCTCTGTGAGCTATGGCCCAGGCGGCCTCGTCACGTTCCCCTCTCACCGCCTCACCACCACACCCACTCCTCTGAGGAGGAAGGGGTGCGAAAGGGAGAGCACGCTTAGCAGGAAGCAACGCGGTGGTGCAAAGACGGGATCTGTCAGCAGCGCATCATCGTCCCCTAGCTACCTCTGCGCTGCCCGCGTCCTGCGCTTCGGTCACACGCGTTCCCTTCTCGCCTACTGACGCCGTCCCCACTTGGAACGTGCGTCCCCACCTGCCATCTTGAGTCCCCCTGCGAGGGTCACCTTTAACACCAACTATGCTGTGAAACCTCTTAACCCATCCCTGCCCTCCCAGCCCTCCAGCTGTCCCGACCTGCGGAGTCCACCCTCTGCCCCTCACCTCGTGCTGCCTCAACCCCCAGATCTCCTCCAGGCTTCCACTGCTGCCCCAGTCACAAGTTTCTGCCCTTCCCACACAGGCAGCAAAACCCCCCGAATCTAGCAGACGTTCAAGAAACACCCGACGAGTCAAGCAGAATCACATCACACAGGCTCTGAGACACTGTGTCTAGACTAGACTTTTTTAGATTACAAAGCCATTTCAAGAAAACAAAAAACAAAAACAAAATACGCTTATTTCAACAACAACAACAACAACAAAACCTCAAGGTCTCGTTTAAAAAAAACACACAATGAGGGGCGCCTGCCTGGGTGGCTCAGTCAGTTAAGCGTCCGACTTCGGCTCACGTCATGATCTCGCGGTCCGCGAGTTCGAGCCCCGCGTTGGGCTCTGTGCTGACAGCTCAGAGCCTGGAGCCTGTTTCCGATTCTGTGTCTCCCTCTCTCTGACCCTCCCCCATTCATGCTTTGGCTCTCTCTGACTCAAAAATAAATAAATGTTAAAAAATAAAAAAAAATAAAAAAAACACACAATGAAATACACCCCCACCGAAGAATGCTAATCACTAGTTCACCGTGTTCATTTCAAACGCTTTTATGGCCGGCGCCGCGGACATCAACCTTCCAAAGGAATACTTGCTTCTCCGCAAGCGTCAGGCTCAACAGCCCACAGCGTCCCCTCCCGGCTCTGACACATGTGCAGACACACCCCCCTAATGACTGAAAATAAGCCGTTGGGAAAGGAGTCTTACCATGGTCGACATGAGCCAGAATGCAGATATTCCTGATGTTAGCTGTGTTTTTCTGCAGCTGGATCATCTTATCCAGACTATTGAGCACCATGGTCCTTTCTTTCCTGGGACTAAAAATTAGGGATGTGTTACAAATGGCACATGGGCTAAACACCAAAGCCTCACA